TTTTATAGAGAACAAATCATTAATAAACAATATAAAAAGCAAGGGTCCAAGAATAGACCCTTGTGGGACACCTTTAGGTACCAAGATTTTATGGGAATTGACATCATTAACTCTTACATACTGGTATCTATTGAGTAAATAAGACATAAACCAAGAGTGAGATTTACCACGAAAGCCAAGCGCTTCAAGTTCACGTAATAGAAGAGTGTGATCAATGAGATCAAAAGCTTTACTGAGATCAATAAACACGCCAATTGTAAGAAGTCCATCATTCATATTAGAAAGGGTGTTATGTGCAAACTGAAGATTGGCTAATTCAGTTGATCTGCCAGATCGGAAGCCAAATTGGTTTTCCGATAGGAGATGAAAAGGTTATAAATTTGTGCATTCGAATATACATGAGTTTTTCTAATATCTTGGACAATGGAGATAATAAAGATATGGGCCGGTAGTTGTTTACACAACGTTTGTCACCTTTTTTATATACAGGAATAACACGAGCAGTTTTAAATACAGTGGGGAAGACACCTTGTTTAAATGATAAGTTAAATATATAGGCATTATACTATAGGCATATATTACTAATATATAAATATATTAGTAATATTGTAAATGCAGTTTTTAATTATATAGTTGCTGAGTTCATCATCAGATAAGGATTTTGTATTTTTCATATTACCAACCACATCTAAAATTTGGGATTCATTAACACTATAAATATAAAAAGAATTAGAGCTATTACCAGACAAGAAAGAATTATCACAAGAATTGTAATTATCATCGATAGAAAGTAAGCTTTCAATAAAGTAATTATTGAATTCATTAGAAATTGTCAAATTGTTAGTAACAACGTTATCATCAATCATTAATTGAGAAATATTATGAGAAGAGGCATTATTAAGCAACGAATTAATGAATTTCCATTTAAATTTTGAGTCATTGTTAGAAAATATATTACTATAATAATTACGCTCAGCCTTTCTTACAACACTAGTGAAACGATTGCGGTGGTATTTATATATCTTTAGATTAGAAGGTGTGGGATTCAAAATACATTTTTTAAATAGTTTATTTTTTATTCTAGAGGCTTTTATGATGTCCCTGGTAATCCATCCTTTGTGCTTGTTGTTGTTAATTACCTTGATTGGAGCATATCTATCAATTATAGAGTTAAAGTGATTATAGAAAGACAGACAGGATACCTCAACGTTTTCAGATCCAAGTACATCATCCCATTTGGTCATGGATAAAATTTTATTGATAATGTCAAAAGTTTTAGTAGTGGAATGACGAGTACCTAAGATACCAGGTGGCTGAGAGGACAAATTTGTGCTATTGAAGAATGAAAATATTGGATAATGGTCCGAAAAATCAGATAAAAGAATACCAGCTGTATGTGGTAAAGAACTATTACTAAAGATGTGGTCAATTAGAGTAGCTGATGTATTTGTTACTCGTGTAGGTAATTCAATCGTCGAGGAAATATTGTAAGTTGCTAGTAAATTTTTAATTGCCATACTTTGAGTAGTGCATTTAGATAGGTCAACATTGATGTCACCAACAAGGTAAATATCCGTTGTAGGTTTAAGCTTATCCAAAATACATTCCAGATGTCCTAAAAAAGCATCGAAGGAAGAAGCAGGAGGTCGATATATGGCTAAAATTGTACCCTTAAAGTAGTTGCAAGTAACATTAATACATAAACTATCTGAAAGATCATCATCAAATATCGATATTAAATTAGTTACAAAAGGAATGTCTTTTCTAATAAAAATACCTACACCTCCTCCAATTCCGCCTGTTCTATTTTTACAAGCAAAATTGTAGGAATCAATATTAACTAATTTACATGTAACGTCATTTAACCAGGTTTCAGAAACAATAATGAAATGAAATATGTTAGAAAATGATTTAATCAAAATTTGTAAATCTGACAGTTTATTAGTAACACTCCGACAATTTAGATGTAGAAAAGAAAAAGAGTTAATTTTAAAATTACTATTGGAACAAAATTGATTTATAAAATTATCATAACTATAGTATCTACAATCATTGACATTTGAATCAACAATGTTGAAAGTTTCAAATGACGCCATGGTTAAACAGTTTGGGGTTTATCCTGAAATATCCAATCCCGCACTACGGTGTTCATGGGCCATAAATCATCGTCAAAAATTTTGGAACTTTGGTCTAGCGGCAAGCACAGTTTTACTATATTATATTGACAGATAAAGAAGGTAATGAATTTGCTTTATTTTTTAAAAGTGTTTTTAGTTTGTATACATCTCAAAAAGATATTTTTTATAATAACTCTGCAAGTTTTGATATTGAAATTGTTCAGCCAGATGAAGAAACTAACAAAAAATTGAAATATCTACATTTTTATAAGTCACTGGGTCCAGACTATATTTGTTTAAGGATATTGTCTGAAAGTGCAGAAGTTGTAATAAAATTTTTGTGTAATCCGTAAAATCTTTCTTTAAATTTAGGTGTCTTACCAGTTGATTGGAAAACTTATAAAATAGTTCATATTGATAAAGAAACAATGTATATGATAGTCATAATAATAGGCCTGTAACTTTGACTTGCCTCAGCCTAATGTTCTCGAAAGTTTTGTAAAAGATGCTTTTATTAGACCACTTCAGTTTAAGCAACCTGTTTCATTAGTATTCATATAGGTTCGTAAAAAGGAGATCAACCTTTTCACAACTGTTAAAATTATTAGATATTTGGACTAAAGTCATACTGACAAAATACCGCGTAATAAATTAATTAAAAAGTTTAAATGGCATGGTGTTAATGAAAAATTAGTTAAATGGATTGAATGTTATTTAAGGGGTAGAAAAGAGTTTATGTAAATAGGGTATGTTGTAATTGGATGAAAGTTACAAGAGGAGTTCCGCTTATTCCGTTTATTCACAAAAAGAGTGATTGTGAAAAATTATTTTGACAACAAGAGGCTACAAATCACTAGAATGACAGTCTCAATCACCAGAATGAGAATTTAAATCTCACAATTTCAAAGATAAAATCATTCAGAGGAACTCTGGAGCGGTATATGATGTTGGAATCAGCAAAGTTGATGTTGAAGAAGGACACAAGAATAAGGCAAATTTACAAGGAAAGTGATTGCTGAAAGATTTTCTCGACAACATGAGCAACACTACACCAGAATGCTGAAATTGTGGGGGAAAAGGCCAATAACGACAGTTTTTCAAACAATTGAAAACAAAACGGAAATACAATCAGACAGTAAACTGGATGAACGACAAATTTATCTTACCAAACCAGCAATAACTATTCAGAATCAGACTCTTAACATTGATCGCATAAATTGAATTGACTTTCCGCACCACGGTTTGTGCGTCTACCAATAATTTCAACGCTAATTTAGTTAGTAAATTACTAAAATATTACAAAACACAAAAAGTATCTTAACAAAACTGTATCTTAAACTACTAAAAAAAACTGGTATTGAACACAAATTAATTTCTATAATAAATTCAGTTGAAAAAAATGAAAGAATAAAAAAATATAACTATCTTTCTGCTTATTTAATGAAATTTTTGTTTTATAACAATTTATTTTTTTTTATGAATTGTAAGTTTACCACATTATTGTAGATTATGTAAACTAAATAAATTATATTAAATTTTTTACTAAAAGGTTTTTACGTTAATCGGTTAATGATTAAAAATCCTTTAATTAAAACTTCATTCATTTATTATTATTGTTGTTTTTATTTTTTCTAAAATATTCTTTAAAGGTTAAATAATTTTGTAATTGAGTTTAATTACTAGGAAAAATTAACTCATATTTAAAATTTGCTATAACCGTATTCTAAAAAATTATCTACTACATTAACATAAGTATTAGACTCATAAATTTAAATTTTATAATATTTCAAAAGGATGAACGAAATCAAATTATGACGACAAATGTCTGGGTGACACAAACTTGGTTTGATCCTGCTCTAGTATGGAAGCCAAAAGAATTCGGCAATGTTGATATGATTTATGTCCCAGCTAATTCAATTTGGGTTCCTGATATTGTTCTTTATAACACGTTAGACTGGTTATTTTATAAAAAAAAATTTTTGCTGAAAATGGAGATAAAATTTTCAATTATATTTATTTGATGTTTGAGTAAGAGGGACTTTGCGTTTCGGTAAATAGGTCCGAATGTAAAGAAATTATTACATGATATATTATATAAGTTATTTTATATAAACATGAATCTACGATGTGGATTTGTTTAAAATAGAAAAACACCCTTAAACACTATTCTAATAGCGTTATATATATCACAAGGATTTAACTGATCAGAACATTAAAACTTTTTAAATGGTTTCTTAAATTAATTCAATAAAGCGTTTTACTTCAAATTCAATTGTTTGTAAAAACAAGCAGTTTTTTAATTGGAATTGACTGAGTATTTTATTTTATGTTCCAACTACCATGCCAATCTGTTTTTAATCATTTTTTCTAATACTTTACCGAGATGTGACGTCAGACTAATTGGTTTATAGCTTGAAACATTTTTTGGCAGTTCATCTTTCTTCAGTAGAGGTACAATGGTTTCCTGGCGCCAATCCTGTGGACATTGCCCTTTAGTCTAGCATTCGTTGAACAGCTTCAGTACTTTTTTATGCTTCTTTAAGTAGTTCATTAATCATTTCAGTGCTGATACCGTCCTCCCCTTCTTTTTTCTTGTTATTTCCTATCTGGCTACATCGTATTCAATCTTTGAAAACATCCTTTCACAACTCTGAAAAAATAGATTTTCTTTCTTGCATTATTTTGACAACTTCTTTCTTTATTATTCTGTATTCTTCGTCACTATGCTTTCCAACGATCTCCGCATATTCCTGGATAAATGTATTAGCCTTCTGTTTTTTAGTAATGCATACTCTTCCTTCCTCTGTATTTAATACACTCATTTTCTGAAAAACTTTTGTTTTTTTTTACAGTGTTTTTATTAGCTTCATACCCTTTTAATATTTTTCAGTTTTTGATATTTTGTAGTCTTTTATCCCTTAACCGTATCTTTGCTTGTTTGACATGGTTGATACCTTATCACCACTTCTGACCATTTATTTTTGTCAATCATGAGATCTGCACGCAACCGATTTCTTTTGTTTATTGCTGCTTTTATTTACTGGTTCATCCATGAGATTTTATTTTTGTGGTGTCTCCTTATAGGTACATACACACTGGCAGCTTTATTGGTGATGGATGTAAACTTTTCTGTTATCTGTACAACAGTGTATTGTAGATATTCTCCGCGTTCTTTACTATTTCCTTTCTGTACCGTGGCCTATCAGCTTTTTCATACCAGTAATGGCTATTTATTTTGATTGTTTGCCTTATCACGGCTTTTCTAAGTGTAATAACATTTAGGAGATAGTTTGACTATAGATTGAGACTTACTTCCCACTGAACCACTTCACATGAGTTACCAGACACCAACGTAAAATGCCCGAAAACAGAGATATAAACTGAAAAAAATGAGGGAATTGGTGTCAGAATTATGAAAACTGATAAAAATCTTTTGTCCAAGGTGTAAGGCGGTATATGTACAACCACTACTTAAACAAGAAAAAACTTTGTAAAATAGTTCGTAGTAATTTTAGCCCAGGACATCACCCAAGACTGAGAAGCTATCCGGACAGGATTGGTATTATTAATGAGGCAGCATGGAGACTATGTGGTATGGAGATGGAAGAAATGGAACAAATATTGACAAGCTGCCAAAAAATAGATAATTTGAGGGAAAAGTATGGTATAAAGAGTATCGTATAAAGAGAAAACTGGAAGAGTTAATCACTTTGCCCAACAATGCTGTAAAAATGTTAATTGATATAATGGTGTAAAAATGTTAATTGATATAATTTACAGGCTGGAATGCAACAAAGGAGGTACATGAACCAATACAACAACAGCAGCAGCAGCGGCAGCAAAAACAACCTTATTATCCACAACAGCATCATTATCAGGAAGTACAGCGGCATAAACAACTACATCAACAACCGCATCAGCAACAGCAACGACAAAATTGTTATCCACAGAAGCAACATCAACAACAACACCAACAGCGGCAGCAAAATCATCAACACCAACAGCAGCTACACCTGGATCACAAATTTGAAATGAAATTTATATCAGCGGAAGTGTAAATGTTTTCCATCATCAATACTAACAAGAACAGAAACAACAAAATTGTTGAAATAAAGGTAGTAAAAAGGGGTCAATTAATTGAGAAAATATTACGTAAGCAGTTGGCTGAAATAATATTTAATGTTAAAATACAGAACATTGATAATGATGAGTCTGATGATCAAGATGATGACAATGATGATGATGATGATGGAAAAGTAGACGTCAATAAAGTTAATAAAGTAGCCAACACTGGCAACAACAGAAACAACAAAACTGTTAAAATATAGACAGCAAAAATAGATCAAATGATTGAAAACAAAAAAAACACCATAGTTTGCGATTTTATCTAATTAGATAACAATTGCACTAAGCTGGTGTTTTAACTCGTAATGTAAGATTTCAACATTGTTTTCCAAGATTTGCCTAATAATTTTAGTTTTGTGTTTCTCTTTCATGTGATTCTTTATAACGCCTCTTTGTACGTGCATCGTGAGTATTCTAGATAGCTTAGTCGTCATCATACCAATATATTCAGAATTGTGGTACCCACACTCACCAATATTACATTTGAACGAATATATAAAATGACTATGATCCATAACCAATTCTGACGTACAAACTGGCGCTATAAAGAATCACATGAAAGAGAAACACAAAACTAAAATTACTTGGCAAATCTCGGACAGCAATTTTGGAATCTTATATTACAATAACAACAATTAAAATTTATGATTAGCTGAATCAATACTCATAGAAGAAAGACATCTGATAATAAATATTCAATAACATGCAACTGGAATCTTTCTCACTAATAAATTTAGAAACAGAAGAGTCATCGACCATGATGACATGTAAAAATGTCATATTGCACAAAGATGAAGATCGTAATAACTAATTAAATGACTGTTATGCATTCATATTAAACAAAGAATTGACATTGTAGTATCGGATCGCAAAACCTAACAATTAAAACTAACGATCCTCGTAATAAATAAAAACACAACAACAAACTGTGTGTGTTTGTCGTTGAAACCTCTGAAGCAAACGCAAAAGAGAGAGAGAGAAACCTTTAACGAAGTGATTTGTGAGAGGTATATAAGGGAAGAAACTGCGATATTATTCTAATAGGTATTTGGGCTTCTGATTAGTCCTTGAGCTCCCACAAAACACTTCGTTAGTTTGTAGTGTTTTTATTTATTTCGAAGACAAAACACGTGTCCAGCCTATCCAAACAAATACTATTCTTTTCTTCTTTGCACTCCGGGCGTACTACTTTTCCTGGTTTTGTGTTTTCTTACATAGCGCAACTGCAACAAATTGGCGACCCCGACGTGATCGAAAAAACAAACAACGAGAGTTGGTGTCTGGTAAAAAAACCGCCGGTAAAAGACTACAGGACAAAAGACCGCAAGCGTAAGGTCGCCAAACAATAAGATCGCATAAAACAAAGGTCGCATAACACAAAGGTCTTTAAGCAATAAGACAGCATACATAATAATTAATAATAATAATATTATTATTATTATTACTATTAGTAAATAATAATAATAATCGACCCATAAAAAATCTTCTCATTTTATTACTGACCTACAATTTTATTACTCGTTCTTAACAACCAATCTTTGCACTACTGTTTAGAGTGTTACAAATACCTTCGATACAGACAGTAAAATAATAAAATAAATATATGGTCTAATCCTTTAATAATAATAGGTATTATCTATAACGAAATATAATGTGTTTTCTTTTTTTTCTTCTTTTTAAAGTCATCAATTTTCAACTTAGGCATTCTAAGCGAATTTGGCAGACTGTTCCAAACAACTGGTCCCGATATATATATATATATATAAATATATATATATGTCTAGAAAGAGAGAGAGAGTTTATATATTTATATATGGTATACACAGAGTATATATATATATATATATATATATATATATATATATATATATATATATATATATATATATATACATATATATTCACCACAAGACAAACAGTCTTACTCGGTCTCCGCATATTCAACTTCATAAATTTTATTCACTTATTTGATATGTTGTTGATTATGAATAAAACTTTGAAAAATGAAAATGAACTTTGAAAAATGACAAAATGACCATCATATATATATATATTATTTATTATTATTATTAAATGCATTTATATAGCGCCTATTAAATGAAATCTCACAGGCACTCTCAAAATCCAGTAACAATAAATTAAAAAAATGATTGTCAAAAAACAACAGTTTATCCACAATGTACATTAAACGAATATACAATGTATACTTGCATAATATAAAAATAGCAAGTAAATGAAAAAAATTAAGTCAAATTAACAAATCATAAATTTAAAGTTTGAAAATAAAACATGACACTAGTTCCATATCATCGTTTTACATCAGAACATGTCCTGACATTGACATCGGCATTTCTGGTGCAGCCACTTTTGCTGTTGTTATTGAAAACCCAATTTCTAACCTAAACATAATCAGGCCAACAACTTGATCTTTCAACTATTTCCGCCTACTTTTCATCTACACACAACCGGAATGACGTAGAAGGGTGGGTTTCATCAAGTTTTATTTTGTCATCTCTCCTCTTGAATACAGGGTATCAAGACAAAACTTTAACATTAATTGACTCAAGGTAGTCAACAACATTGGATGCACAAGTCTTTGAAATATTAACAATGTGATAAAATTTTTTCCGATATACAACTTTACTAACTGATATTTTATATTGCGTAGGCCTATGAGGTTCAACAGTGGTCTTTGATATTGCATGACAACATGGACTGGTATTAGTTGATAGTAAAATGTTTCTTCTTTTCTTGCGTCTGACTGTTATGAAATTTTCACCATCATTGTTACCTTCTTCAGCAATGTCAGACAAATTATAAGCGACTGATGTCTCAGCATCTGAATCTCCATCAACGCATACATCACTGCACACGATACTGTTCACCTTTTTTTGGACATCACTCAGTATATTGCCATGCTCTTCAAGAAATTCCAGAACGGCCGGACTATTTTGAATAACACTTTTTTGCAACCTCACCTGTTCAGCTGACAATTTCTCGAATCTAATGTCTTTCCACAAGTCGTCAGCGAGAAAACAGGGAAATTTGTCTTCGACTTTAGTTTCAAAAATTAGCCGACATATACTAAGACATTCGTCCCACATTATATTCTTGTCAACGTCTTCGGAAAACTCCGGCAGGCTGAGCGATAATGTGCTGGCTTCATGCTGCAAAAACTTTGCACTTTTTTTTACGTCGTGAACTTCAAAAAATTCGCAAAGAGAAGTTTTCATTTCCTTTTCATTTATCCGCTTTCGAACGTACCAAATATAACACAATAACGTATCAATTACGTATTTTTTATCGCTTTTAACCTCGACAATTATTCCTTCCGCCATTTTCCAAAGATCATATATATATATATATATATATAATATACTGTATTGTATGAATTTGACCGAATTGTTGGCATTAATCAATTTAAAGTTTGTCTATTCAAAGATCCTTACTAGAATTTTTTAGAAATTGCTCAATTTATTGAAAATAGATTTTTATCCAAGTTCATCGTGAAAATTTAATAAAACTGTTGTTTTCAAAATATATAATATACATTCAATATTCAATTTGAAAAATTTATAATAGGTATATATTGATATAAATGTTTGCTTATCAAGAATTTAACAACCAGCAAGAGTGCTTAATAAAATAATAAAATAACTTACCATTTTTATTCAGGCGCTTAATATATAATATACACTTAATATATATGAAATACAATTTATAAAAACATACGAATGAATAAATATTTAATTGTTGATTAAATTTTTAGAGCCGATGGAGTGTACGAAATGACATCTGGTACGAAAGCCGTTGTAATGAACACAGGTAAAATCAAGTGGAAACCACCTGCTTCATTTCGAAGTTCGTGTCTTATCGATGTCACATATTTCCCCTTTGATGAACAAATGTGCGGATTTCAATTTGGATCATGGACGTACAACATTCAAGAAGTTATTTTATCAATATGTTTGTTGTTATGTTTTGATTTAAAAGGTATTTCAGACAGTAGTAATGGTGTTTACCGCGTTTTTATTGCGTATTAACCTGGTTGATAATCTGTCAAAGACGATCATTCACTTATGTGTTTGATGAGGTGCTTGCGCATACATATATAGTAAATAATACACTTCATTAATACAAATTAATTTATTAACACAAATTAACAAACTTATAAAAATTTAAGTTGTAATAACCAAATATATTGTTCAGGTTGACATACAACATGCTTGGCAACCTGACGACTCCATCGACATGGGCATCGATTTAAGTGAATTTTATCGTAGTGCTGAGTGGGATTTGATGTCAGCTCCAGCCACGAAAAGAAATAGATCGTATGCGGGCTCAGAAGAACCATTTCCAGAATGGACGTTCAATGTTACTTTGAAAAGAAAATTTTTATTTTACACCGTTAATTTGATACTTCCACTTATGTCGCATGCCTTCATTACAGTTTTAGTTTTTTATATTCCGGCAGCAAGCACAGAAAAGATGTCTCTCAGCATTAACATTCTTCTTTCATTGACAGTCTTTTTTTTAATGTTAGTTGAAATCATACCGCCCACTTCTCTCGTGGTACCACTTTTAGGAAAATATTTGTTGTTTACCTTAATGTTAGTTTCATCATCAGTTATTATCACTGTGCTTACTTACAACATTCATTATCGATCTTTCGCAACACATTGCCTTCCACATTGGGTAAGAAAGGTCTTTTTGTATTGGCTACCACGATGTTTGTTTATGAAGAGGCCAGAAATAGAAAATCACGAAGACGTTTATTTAAAGCATATTATTCTGTGCACGTGCTTTAAAAACAAATCTCATGACGTAAATTCTCTCCAAACTTCCCGATTTGGAAGTAACATAAAGAAGCTGGTTGAACAATTTAACAAAGATTCTCACTTCATATCAACTTCAAATCTTTCCCCGAGCGTTCAAGATGCTGTTCGAGGTGCCTTATACATTGCCAATCATTTGAAACGACAGGATGAGTTTTCAAGGGTTTGTTTTATTTTATTTTTATGCATTTTTTAAAATTTGTTTTTAATAAATTTTTTAATTGGAACTTTGGCCAAAACCAAATCCGAACCTTTGGCCTATTTCTCAATTTTGATAAACACCGTAATCGAAACTTTAATAACATTAAATTTACCTGAACTGAACAGAACACACTATTGAATTTTTTAAAAATTGTTTTCTTTTCCAAGCAACAATGGCAAATCAACGGTACAAAACCTAAAATTTAATTTTAATACATACAAACGTAAGTACGTACACATACACGCACACACAACACAAAAATACACATACATACATACATACATACATACATACATACATACATACATACATACATGCATGCATGCATGCATGCATGCATACATACATACATACATACATACATACATACATACATACATACATACATACATACATACATACATACATACATACAACAACAAAAAATGGCGTCCAGGTCACTTGTAATAAATGAGTTCCTGTATTATTTAGAAAATAATTGGAATTTAATTGAGAATGAAACGTTTATTCATAATATATCTGTATTTTATATTCATAAGGATATTGTAAATGCAATTAAATTGCTAAAAAGTGAATTAAATAATTTTAAAATTGAAAAGAGTGAAAAATTGCAGTCGCGGGGTAACATGAAAATTGAGAAAATATTGGAATGTATATCGTTAATTAAACAGTTGAAAGAAAACAAATGTTGGGACAAATGTCCATTATTTGTTAGTTGTAATTTAAATAAAGTTCCAAAGTCTGAAAATTTGTTAACATTGAACTTTGAAACTATCAAACTAGAATTTAAAGATATATATAACACAAACAACAGGTGCAATTTAACAAAGTTATTGAAACTGTTGAAAATAATAAAGCTGATATTATTTCATTAAAAAACGTTATTAAAACTGCTGATATTAATAAACCAGAAGTAAATACATTGAAAAATAAACTAAATTCTAATGTTGTAAGTGACTACAGTACTGAAATGACAAACAAGGAGGGACAAAAGAAAAATGTCAGTAGTTCTCTGTGGTCAGACATAGCAAAGTCAGAAGACAACGGTACCCCGTTCTCAACTGTAAATGGAAAAAAATCACGTAAAAATAACAACAATTGTGAGAATCAAAACAACTCAGAAGAAACCAGCTACAACCCAACAAACAACAAACAAACAGGAGAAACCAGCAACAACCCAACAAACAACAAACAAACTGGAAAAAAGACAGCTATGAAAATAATTGGTAAAAAAGTTTCAAATGATTGCAAACTGAAGGTAAATAAAATCTTAATGAAAAAATCTGTGTTCTGTTTAAGCAATGTCAGCAAATGCCACAGAAATGATGTGATGGCCTACCTAACCGACAATGGTATCCATGTTGTTTCCTGTTATCCCATACTCAAACAACTCAATAAAATGGCACCAGCTTCTACAGCCGACATCAATAACAATAATAATAGTCAAACTGAGAATAAAAAAACAGATGAAGAAGAATCCAGTACGTTTAGAGTTAGCTCCGATAGCTCTGATTCTAAGAAAATGAAAGACCCTGACATAATGCCCCAGCACATTATAGTACGCGAGTGGCAATTCAATAAGAAACGAGAAACAATTGTCGATCAAACAAAAAAAGATGGATAAACAACATGTTGATAATGATGAGGACAGCAGTGATGATGAAAAAAAGACAATTTAAACCCCAAGCAAACTACATGTAAAAGGTATGACAATTTTAAGACGTTGAATGATGAATATAAATTAATAAATAAAGATCTTGACAGCAGTATGTTTTTCAACTTAATGCATTTGAACATAAGAAGTTTGGTCAACAAAACAGATGAATTAGAAAGCTATTTGTCAAACAGTCACATCAAATTCAATGTAGTTGCGATAACAGAAAGCTGGTTAAACGAACGTACTGAAAGTTTGGTTGGCATGGATGAATATAGATATGTAGGCAAAAATCATCATGACAAACACGGTGGAGGGGTTGGTTTCTATGTCTGTAATGATTCTACCTTTCGAATAAGAGATGATTTAAATACCATTGGCTCGCCAAAGTTTGAAATGTTTGCAATAGAGTTCATTAACAATTTTAAATCTAAAAATTCAATTGTGATGGTTAGTTACCGACCTCCAATATACGAAATTAAACAATATTTTAAAGAATTAGAACAAGTTTTACAAATAACTAGTAATGAAAATAAATTTGTTTATCTTTTGGGAGATCTAAATATTGACTTATCACCAGAAGTTAGCAGTATAAATAAAATTCAATTGAACCAACTTGTGAAATGTTACAACCTCAAATCCATGATCACAGTTCCTACAAGAATCAGTAATACAAAAAAATCCACTATAGACATTTAGTTTACAAATCATCCAGAAAATATTATACAATGTGGTACCCTTTTATGCGACCTATCAGACCACATCCCACTTTTTGCTTGCACTAATCAAAAAATAAATAATAAGACAGTTGCTGACGTTACATTTTCAAAATATTCTTATTCAACACACAGAATAAATAATTTAAATGAAGGTTTATGTAATGCCGATTGGACAAGTGTACTGAGCTGCGATGATGTAGAAGTGGCCTTCCAAAATTTCATCGACATCTTTCGGTTACATTATAAAACTTATTGTTCAGTGACCTCTAAAAGACAGGCTCAGAAGATGACAAAAGACAAACCGTGGATAACTAAAGAATTTAAACAAATGTTAAAAAGGAAGAAAATGTTATATAAAAAATATCTAAAGCACACATCGTCAGACAAATCTACAGCACTCAAATCATGCAGCAAATTATGCAACAAGATCAAGTGCCAGTTGAAAAGACAATATTATTTTAATCTTCTACAACAAAGCAATGGCGACAGCAAGAAAACATGGTTAATCATCAATTCTTTAACGAAACGAAATAACAAAAAAACATCAACAATTCAATTAACTTTAAATGATGATCCAATTGATAATCCTGAAACTATTCTCAATAATTATTTCATCAATCTGGCCTCAGATATGCAGCAATCATTTGTAGAAGACACAAGATGGAAAAATTATCTTCAAAATGGGTCAGTAAATTCATTTTTTTGTAACCGTGTTTCATCATCTGAAATCATTTCAACCACAAAACTTTTCAAACCCAAGACGTCGAGTGGTTACGATGAAATATCAACAAAAATAGTAATATCAACAATTAAATCAACAGCAACAATTCTTGAATATTTAATCAACTTATCATTTGACAAGGGCATCTTTCCTAAGTGCTTTAAGACATCCAAAGTTGTTCCAATTGCAAAAGAAAGAGGTAACTCAGAGGTTAAAAACTTTCGACCTATATCTTTGTTGCCTGTTTTTTCGAAGATTATTGAAAAATTGATGCACAGTCGTTTGCTCAAATTTTTTGAAAAAAATAACATTCTTTCTAATCATCAATTTGGTTTTCGAAAAAACCACTCAACTGAAATGGCAATACTGGAACTGATTCAAAAAATTGGAGTCGCAAGTGAAAAAAAAATTATGTAATTGGAATATGTCTCGATCTGTCAAAAGCTTTTGATTGTATTGACCATTC